TACTAGTGGACTTGGCAGTGTTGGAACTGATCACCATAAAAGTCTCCTCCAAGTTTCCTAAATGATTCTATAATTCTGAACTTAGGATGTAAATGGTACCTTTAAATTATATACTAAGTGTCAGAATCAAATATTTTAGTCCCAGGACACTCCTTTAAAAGCCTAATACAGTGATAAGTCCATAGGCTGAAAGTTTGGGAGGGGGCTAATGTGTGTGAGAAATACCACAGACTTTCACACCAAGTCCTCACTGTCCTGACTCTGAGATTCTCTTGGTTGAAGATATACAAGTGGTAATGTCATGATTAGTTCTTAGGCAGCTCAGCAGAAGCAAAGGTATTAACTCAATCTATATTTTACTTCCTTGAAGGAAGTTCCACACATTCTGGTGAAAAGCACCATGTCCAGACTGGAATTTCAGTAGGAACTACACACTTGTTCATCTTCACATTTACCTTGAATGCCCCATAAAATCCATTTTTAAGCAAGACTTTTGGATTCTCATAATAAGGATTTTGAAACTGTCCTGCAAAAATGAACAAAAAATTAAACTGCTTTGTTTTATAGGCAACCTGCATTATTTTCTTTGTGAAAAAACATGAATGTTTATAACCTACAAAATAAGGACTCAACATCAATACAGGAGGATCATGAAACTTACCGCATCTGTGGTTTACCACTATTACAGCCCTCTATAAACTAAAATTCTTCCATCTGACCCCCTAAATACATCACACTTCTAGAGGTAAATCTGGAAGAAAGCTATAAATACAGCTCCTTAAATGTGCTTAAACTGTCTGTTTATTTAAAAGAAATAACCCTCTTTATAGCTATAAATTTGACTGAAGTGCTCTCACTCATGCAACCTCTCTGAATAGAAGGAAGTTAAAAATAGGCCAACTTCCAGATAATTTTTGTAACAACCACATCCCACTAAAGCTGAAGAATTTCTGATCCATTTAATTATCCAGAACTGGCAAGTGTCTTAATTTAGAAGCAGAATTTGGTTTAGAGTATTAATAGAAAATCGTATCTTGCCACAATCAAAACAAGGCTTTTATTTCTTTTGAAAAGTACATTCAAAATACACATTTGCAGGAGAAGAGATAGTGATTCTCAATTTCATTTCTTTGCTTTATCTGCAAGAAAAATGACCTTGCAGAAGGTCACAAGAGAACAAATCTACACTAATGTAAGAAGCATTTTTTACATGAACTATAATCTTTAACCAAAGATCCTGAAAAATGTTACAGCCTAAGTATTCTAAATTATTCTGATAATTTTAGAAAGGGATAAATATTTTTTCCTTTGCTTTATCTCAGAAGCAAGGCTTTATTTCCCTGCCCATGCCCAGAACTGTATCAGTGCAGTCATAAGGGCTGAATATCTGCTTACTTACTGGAAAGAAGTTACCTTCTACACTTCATCAGTTACCTTACACACTTCAACTGTACCTCTACTATGCATAACAGCACTCAGCATTATTTTAGGACAAACCATATAATAGTTTCTACACGGGGGTAATGCTTTTCAAAACTCTGTTGTAGGCCAGCTTAAATTGTCCAACTCAAACTTGTGTTGACAAAGCCAAATAACACCTGAAAACCCAAGAAATACAGTTTCTAAGCAGTAGAAGACATCTCAAAGAAACTGCATAGTTATGCCTACACTGATTATTCAGAAGCAAATCATAAGCATTGAAAAGGTTCATTAGCGTTCAGCTTAAATAATCACATTTTCTGAGCATGCAATTACCATCCTTTGCAGCATGGCTCTTGTACAGGTACAGTCTACCCAGAAGTATATTACAATTTTCAGTGCAAAAATCTCAAGCCTACCCTGCAATCATTTTCCTGAAATTAAAGCAGAAAATAAAAAAAGTTAGCAGATATTTAATCTTTACCAGGAAATGCTTTTCACTTGTTTCTGACAATCAGCAGGAAATCTGCAGCACACCCTCAGCTTCAGATAAGGACCAAGCAAACTATTACAGACTTTATCACACTTATGACCAGGAATGCTGGATGAACTACCAATCACTGTAGTCCAAGCAGTAAAATGAGGAGCTATTTGGCACATGTTGCTGAATTCCATCCAACATTTTCCTAGTGATCTGAAGTTTTGAAAGCTCACACTTCAGAAACAGGTTTGAAATATCACACAGTTAAAGAAAGCTGTGAAACAATTCTGATTCCTTTTAGGGACTTTAGTCCAGAAAACAGATATCAGAAGACTCAAAGATACTAAATGTTTGCTTGCAAGGTAGAACACTATTGCAACACGGCCGGCAAGTTCAAATTTCTTCCCAAAACTGCAGAAAACTGAACTATCATTTCATATTTAACGGAGTGAAATGTGATGCTATAGCAGCACTATAACTTTGTGGATGAAAAGTAATTAATTGTTCTAACTACAAGTATTTAAGACTTCACAAGAGGCAGCTAGGACAAAAATATACTGGAAGCTCTGTTCCTTGGAAGTTCCTGCAAGTATTGATCAAAGCCAAGTACTTCAAGTCACGGCTGTCTTAAACTTCACTGCTAGGTTTCTTGACTGGGTGATAATGGATGTAGAAAAACAGTCAGAGTTCACACAGTAAATGTCAAAAACACCTCTAGTTCATTTTAAAGGCGTAGTACAGCTAAAAAAGTCAAGTTTCCATCACATGAAATATTTAGAGATGAATTCTTGAGTGTACATTCATTACAATTACATTAGTGCTTGGAAAGTCTTTTGAAACCTTGTCAGTCAAATGGTTCATTGAACTCCTGAAAAATTTTAGTGAGGATGTGGCAGGTGACGAATAATTCCGATTATGAATGCTGGCAGTTATTTACTTCTGTGACAGAGGGTGACAGCAGATGTCTGAAGTAACTTTTGAACTCTCCTAGAGAAGCCTGCTTCTTGATAGCTGCAATTAACAATGGGCTGCTTATAAATCTGATTAATACCTGGATTAAAAAAACCTGGTACTTACTGAGTCCTCCAATTAAAAAAAGTCATCATTTCAAAGACAGATTGTCATATTACTGAAAATAGACTATTTAGACAGGAAACAGAACTGGATTGGGAAGAAATTCCTGGAAATTATGGAAATATTAGAAACAGGAGAAACCTATAACAAAATGCACCTAGGCACTGGCCAAGCCTCTTGGCCAGTGATCCCCTAGACTTGCACATAGCGCAAAGCAGCTACACGGCACAAAAGCAACACCTTCCCAACAATCTTCCCCAGACAAGCAGATCTCCCCAGAGTAAAGTTAGGGCAGAATGAATATAACTCTGCAAAACTGTGTTGCAAACAAAGCTGTAAGAAGGAAGTGACAACTTTTGGTTAGAACTGAAGATGAAAAATGAATAAAACCCACAAAGAAATTAGGACATCTGAGCAGTTAACTTTATTCAAATTAGCTCATGTAAGTTTTCCACCAGGGCATCTACAAATAAGTATAATTCAAGTTCTTGCTATGCTCTGGATGCAGCTTCCAGACAGTCAACATCACATTCCATCTTCTGTTTGAATTACTTGAACTTCTTATAATTCCTCGCAAGTTTCCCCAGTTTTCATGTTTAAATAATATTCAGCTAATTCTAGTTAGACAGCTCAGACTGCCTAGTCAAACTTCAGTACCTGCTCTCAGTGTTTGAATACATTTCTGTCATTTCAAACGTCACATTGGTAGCAAACTGATTGCTTGATATTAATTGAGCAGACCTGACTGCATATTTGCAGCTTATGATCCACCTACAACACAGGAGATGGACTCTATGATCCATGTGGGTCCCTTCCAACTCAGCTTATGCTGTGTCTGATTCTTCCATATTGCCACCTCAACATTTATATTACTGGAGCAGTTGGCACAGAAGGCTTGTTGAAAGACGTCAGGTTTTTATGTTCCTCTAGTCCAAACATCAGTTCCCTGTGCTCCTGCACTAAATACACAACTCACCTAAGACCTCCTCCAATACTGAAACTAAATTAGAATTTAGAAGTTCCTGAGAGCCTGCTGTTCTGAAATACTGCAGAAAGAGGCAGATTGTACTTGAAATAACTTTAGTGTTTGCAAACATGAAAGCAGGACGTAACTACCCTACATTCTAATAGCTATTTAACAATTAGTCTGATAAAAAAGACTACCTAACCACCTTTCCATGTGCTTGCATAGACTACAATGTCCCCTCAGGTAGCATTAGAAGCTTAAAAACCTGTCCTTGTAAACATTTTCTCTGTCAAAGGATATATGAAGATTTTTTCCATCCTTAGAAATATAGCTCAGTAACTATATAGCTAAAATAGGATTAATTTACAAAGACAACACGAATGACAAAAATATTTCTGAACTGTGTTTATATAAACATATTGTTTGTATACAAATTAACATTTACATTAAATATTGAAAGAACTTCAAGCTAGACAATTTGCATTAAAGAGAAAAATAAGTTAAAAATTAATCACATCTTAATTATTCCATTGGTTATGACTAGAACAGGCACCTGGAAGTTTCAGAACTGAACCATACTAAAACACTGCAACAGTGCTGAATATTGCAATATACGCTATGATTTCCTTTGAGAGAGCAAAAGCCACCTCACAGTTATCTGAGGATTTGCATGGTAACTCAGTGGAGATCACAGCATGAAAATGACTTATTTTTCACAGACTGGAGACTCACCATTTAAATAAGATTTTTGGCATACTTTGACAGCCTCTTGTTAACTATAGTTTTACATAGAAATCCCGGGAAAACTAATGCAAAAGTTAAATCAAGCTCTTCTTAGACTGTAAACTTCATCTAAATCTTTCTTGCAATATTTGCACCATTTTGCAGGATTTTAGCTAGCTGTATTTATGAATAAAAAAGTCCTACAAGTCAAGCATGGACATATTTTAAAAAACCCAAGTTAACAGAAAAGCACTGAGTTATGAAATAGTTACACCAGTTCATCAAATTATATATCAGAAGGTTACATATATGTTTAATCATAAAATATGTTCTATATATCATTCAACACCAGCTTCAACATTTGTCCTCATTAAACAGTGATACTCAAAGTGATATTTAGGTTTTTTTATCCCTTTAAGTGAGTACACTAATTTCTTTTATTTTTACAGGTGCAAAGATGCTTATCTGGATAAGAGTTCCATGTGGGCATGACTTGCAATATAATTTTGCATTTTTTCATCTTGAAGGCAAAAGGCTGTCAATGGTAATAAACAGACACTTCATCATCACTCATATCTGAATCATCATCATCTACTTCACCTTCAATGACTGATTTCTTGCCTTTGCAGCATGAAACAATTAATCCAATTAAAAAGACCTGCAAATTTAAAGTAGAAAGTGTTATTGTTATTCAGTTCAGTGGCACATAAAGGCAATATAAGTAAAACAAATTGTAGTGTGGTGATGCAAATGAAGCAATGACAACTACTGTAAATTATCCAACTTGACTCAGAGGTCTCCAAAATCGAAGTACTTACTGCAATGAATGCCCAGTTCCCAAAGTAATAGGCTGCACTGAAGAACCAAAATTTATGAAGAAAGAGGTACGTCCGAGTGACAATACACTGATCTAAATTGAAAGGAAACAGCACTGATTAACACAGAACAACAACAGAAAAAAATCAGCTAATACCATATAGAAAGATAATATTTTAGCAGTTATGGAGAGTGTTTAGCTCTGCAGAATGATTACACTCTATTACATCTAATTTACTCCCCTGTACCAAGAAGGTACACAAATGGAACACTTCTTGTTATGGGAGAGTGACTGTGACAGGTAACGTGAAGCTACAAGTTACATAGGTAACCCGGTTACTACTGGGAACAATTTCTCATGCAGATATGTCAATTATTAACTAGAATCTCTCCAAAAGGGAGCTCACTTGCCATTTTCTATTAACCACAGCCATACAAAGCAGATTCTGGATTAAAACACACATTTCAGGACTACAAAAACCAGTGTCTCTACCAGGATTACATAAGCGTTGCAAAAATCTAAGAGCTATGTATGCAATAAAACACCCTACAAACACTGGGCCTTTTGCAACCCCAATAAAAGAAGCTTTATTTTTACACAAAACCTGACAGTACTGGTTAAACCTTACTCCTTTAACAACATGAATACTGAAGTAGTATTTTCCAATATGGTTGTATTTCTCTTCATTTCTAACTGGTAGATTTTAAAATTAAGAATCAAATTTCCAAGGAATTTTCAACATGCAGACAAGAGAGCATAAAGGCTTGTATAGGACACTGAACCTGTGCCATTCAAAGGATCATGCTAGAGGACAGCCAGCAGGACATGCAAGCCAGTTCATGAATCTCTCAAATGCAAGGAGGTGCACACACTGAGTTCAAGCTAAAATGTTTTCTGGTTGGTTTGTTTGGTTTTTATACTATGCTTACCATGATTCAAACCCCACGTAAAGCCCATTTCAGAGCAGGAATTGGTGTGCAAACATGCTGAACACTAGAGAATGTAAGCAACCCAGAAACTGCCTATTTGTCCCTCAGTTCAGACCCCAGGTTTGGAAACATTCCCCAGGTGCAGTTCAAGTAAAGATTTCCTGCTTTCTAAACTTCTGAGTGATACACTACTTATATAGTAATACAGCTCACTTTTAGCAGCCATCTAAGTAAAAAACACCAGTGAAGATGCTTCTTAATTGCAGGTAATATTGTCAATACCATCTGCAGCTCTCCAGCTGGTCGCCTGAATTAAAAAAAAACAACTAAAAGACTTTCAGGTGGCTCTTTAAAACAATTAGATTAAATAGATAATAAATATTTTGGAATAGCTTGACCTTGTGAGGATATTTCTATGCAATGTTTGTTACAAGATCAGATAACTAAATTTTAGCTATTGCTTCTGAACTGATGTTACTTAATTGGCTAACATGACATTTTTCATCAACTGATTCCTCCAGATGACTCAATTTAGAATAAGTTATAATGAATAGCCTGAATTAAGATAGCTACTTGTTATCCAGAATGATCAATGTGAATATTAAATGGATCTTGATATGTGGAACAAAAGTACACATGGAAAGCTACCAAGCCTCCAATAGCTACCTGTCACCATTTAAAGAATACAACCTACTCTATGTACATATGTAGTGCTGACCAAGGCACAAAGCCAAACAGCCAGGATTCAAGACAAAACAATTCTTAAAGAATGACAAATACTAATAGTCATTACTACCAGAAGAGTCAACTATTTTTTGTTTTGAGTTCACTGATGAAGTTTATCATTATGGTAAGAAACAGCTACACTCGATGTACTATTTTCAAATTAAGGCTTCTTCCAGGAAGTGTATTAGCTAGTTTATGATGAATTACAATGGTAATTCTGTTCAAAGCCAAGTATTAAAGCCTAAAACATGATTTTGTGCACAGAAAAGCCAAATTATGAGAACTTACTGATGAAGTCTTTTATGTACCTCAAAATACAGTGAGCTTTCACAAAAGCATGTAGAAGGAAATATTTTCTTAGAGAAGGGTTAAAAATTGTTGTGAACAATGTAATTTATAAACATTTGCATTATCTGAAAGTCAATACTGTACACTTGTTTTACCTCTTCATTAATCAACTAGACTATGAAACAGATTATACCCTCTGTAAATCCACAGATCAAAC